AATATAGTTAGTTATAACTCTTTAAAAACGCATTTTGACACAATTGGTGTAAGTACATTGGTGCCCCACTTCAGAACACTAACTAATCACTCGAACTCACTTTTGTCATTAGTTATATCAAACTCTAACTACATTCAGCAGATTAAGGTTTACACTTACACATATATGGGCTTTAATGATAGTGGTAGGTACTATCATTTAAACGAATCCAACAATTGTTTTACCTTAATTATAGGGAATCGTGTTATTTAGAATTGCATAAAGAGATATGTTTATCAGTTACAAATTGGGGTCATCGTAAGTGCCATTCTTAAAAGTTTCACTTTTTCTTTCTCGAACTGTTATATGGCTAACAATTTTATTTTATTTATTTTTGGTTATTTAACTATCTAATATTATTGGCCTGATTAAGATGGCCAAGAATAACACTTGATATAAGACTAATGAAAAATTTTCCATAAAATTCATATTTTACAACTTTCTGCTTCTGCTGATGTATTAGTATCGATATTTTAATGTTGACTAATACACAGTTCAGTATTTCTACTACCAGAAATTATCAAAAAAAATTAAGTTAGCATGGAGTACAATAGATCTTTAAGGGGTCGCAGTGATTAACCCCCCCCCCCCCTCCCACTCATTCTACTAGCATGGAGTACTTATGAATGTTACTTTATCTAAAGAAGAGAACATTCGACCAATGTGTACTGCCAGTCATGACCTATGCATGCGAAACCTGGACACCTAAAACGGACATTATAAGGAAACTGCAGGTCACACAACGGAGAGTGGATACGACAAAAGACCCAAGTAATAGATGTCATCAAAAGAACCAAATCCCTCAATTGTCAATGGGCAGGATACTTGACAAGGACGGACAACAGATGGACCACAAAAATTACAGCATGGTACCCACGAGGAATTAAAGAAGACTAGAAGAAGACTAAACCTGAGATGAACCCACGATATTAGAAAATTATCAGGGTTAACTAGGCCCGCTTAGCCAACAATAGACAACAATGGGCCCAACTACAAAGAGATTATCTAAATATGTGAGGGAGGCTGCACCATAATTGGAAATGGTTGAACAAGGTGAAAATGATGAAAGTGATTATCTTCTATTTATATAATTCCCAATTGTTCTTTCTGTTAGGCGCGGTCTCTTCAGTTATAAATAAATAACTTTTATCTAACAAATAACAATCTAAAAGTTAAACAATCTAGAGCCTGATATCTATAGGATCATTTGGGTATTTTCATACAAAATAATCCAATAGATAACAGTTTGGAGGACGGCCGCCTACGGACCGGTAGATACTCCGTAGAGAAAGTGTTGCCAATATAAGATATCTGAAATTGAGATGGTTATATATGAAAAGTCAATACAACAGACAGAGACAGAAACTCGGAATTTCAAATTGTTAGATTAAAAAGTGAGGTTATTGTTCAGTTGTCAAAAGATCGTCAAAATGAAAATAAAAACAATAAAATTCAACTAAAATATATTTTGTGTTCAACTCCAACTAGTCCTATTATTGTATAGGCTATTTAAATTTACCTTTATGGAAAAAGGGAAAGATAATTCAATTTCAGCAGTGGTGGTGGTGCAATAGATCTATTGATGGCATGCGATTTATAAGAAATTAAAACAAGAAAAAATAATTTGTAAGTAATTTATAGTTTAATTACATGATATTACTGTTATATTTATTATATTAAAATTTTAGTACAATTGATAATAGAAAATATGGAAGAAGCTGGTGAAGTACAAGCAGAGATTTATAAACCAATCCTAAAACCACCATCTAGTAAGTTATTAATATTGAAAATTAAAAATAGCATAAGACTGTTAGCAATAACAAATATGTTGTTCTAGGGCTTCTCATAGTAAAGAAATAGGTAGGATAGCATCAATGATAGTAATTAAGGTGAGTTTTTATTTTATAAAATAGATAAATGCATAATAATTGTTACATTTACACATTATATGTACAAATTATTTAATAAAAAAAAAATTAAATAAAAACAATTTTGTCATGTTACTTTTATTTTTAAGAACTCCAAGTGATGGAACTTCAAAAAAAAAAGAAAAAATAAAGGAAAAATCTTGTCTAAACAAAGTTGAACTAACTGGAATTCAAAGGACCACAATACAGGTGTTTTAGCAAGGTTTAGCTAGAGAGTTACTTAAAAAACAGCATGGAGAAGAGATGTACCGTATGATCGAAAAAAACGGCGTCAACAATGGCTATGAAATAAAGATTGCTGCCATTTCATATGTAAATTTATATGGGAAATATCATCGATCATCATTTCCCAGCCAACTGGACGCCGTTTTTTTCGATCATACGGTATAAGGTACATACTGCAAGAAATTAAACTAAAATTGTAACACAAAAGAAATAAAAGCAAATGTGAGTTGAATAACAGGTTTTATAAGGTTCCTGTTATAATATTAATGAATTAAGATATGCCAATAAAAATAAAATAAATAGTTTGATTTAAAAAGTTTTATTTATTTTTTACCTACTTTAGAGCTTTATTAAAAACTAGTTGAAGCCTGCCGCATCCGCCACGAGATCAGGAAAAAGAAATACTTTTTATTTTTTTAATTAAATGAAAAACAAAAAATCCGGCGACGACAGTTTTTAGAAGAGCCATTTAGCTATCTTTTAGTAAAAAAAGCAACTTTCTAGAGCAAGTCGTTACTTCAGTAGAGACGACACAGATAAACATTAGCATTTTATATAATATGTAGTAATGGTTTATAATTGAAAGGATTTAAATAAAATAATTTATAAATTACTGTTTTATCACTATTATCCTAACTTAATGCATTCTCTTCGTTCTGATGCTCTAACAGAACAGAGACTCTCTTTATTTTGTAACAGTCCTTATAAAGTCCGGCACTAGCAACAATAGTTTTTTGCACCATTTCAATCTGTTTATTGGTGTTTATACCCCATACGTTCTAAAATGATTATAGCCTACATACTCAGAATAGGTAAGTTTTTTCCAAATAATCTAAAATCGAATTTATTGGAATAAACGAAATCTTCAATAATAACAATGTCTTAGTTATGTTAAGCAATTTTGTCAAATATCAAATAAAATCAATATCTCCTCATGCCTTTGCTCATGCGTCAAATTTTTATCCGACAAATAAAGCACTATTTGGCAGTTCGGGCGCCAGATAGGATATCTGGGAGATAAGTTTAATTTATCTAATAGATACTGTTATCTATAGGTGAAGATACGCGTTTTTCTGTTATCCGTCAAATAAAATATATCTGACAGATTATAACACGCTATCCGTACCTGAAAACACCGGGGGTTAATATGAAGATCCTGAAACTATGCCTTTGATTCCTTCAGTTCTTGAAAACAGGACTATATTAATTATTTGTGTTGGGGCAGAACAAATCAATATATGTTATTAGTCTATCTACATTTGTCTATCGAAAAAATAATAATACGATAAGCGGGGAAAGAAGATTTGCCATATTTTTAAAAAAGGAAGTAAAATACAGAAGTTAATTAATATTGTTCTATGGTCCTTTTTGAACTGACAAGTGATAAGAATGTTACGTTATCATAAGTAGCAAGTCAGGAAGTGCCTAGATATTTGTCGTTGTTTTCAATTGTTCTTATCGTTTCGACGTTGCGATTAGAATTGTCCCGATATTGTTCTAAAATGCTGAGAACAGCCCAGACAGGAAACTAAACGAATAATCAGTTTATGGGCGGAGATAACAGAATTCTTTTCGATTACAAACAGAGTCATGGTTCCTAATAGCTTAGGCAGATTGAAGAGAAATATATTAATTAGTCATTTGTAATCGTGCAAATATAATTAATAAATTGAAACAATAGAGTGATAAAAATGCAATTCCGGATGTCGATAGAGTTCTAAATTTAAAGCTCTTGACATAACTTTTCAGTATAAAAGTTAAAAGCAAAGCCAGACTAAACTTACATAAATTTTATTAAAAAACTAAATATACCATACGATCGAAAAAAAACGGCGTCAAATACAGCTGCGAAATGACAATCGATGAAAATTTTAGCGAGGTCAAGCCCTAGAGGCTATTTACTTGATCCGTACTCTTCTTGATTTTTTAATGACGCTTATACTGCGAGTTGGCCTTAAGAAGATTGTATTTTTTTTTACACTGATTAAAAATTATTTTAAAACGGTGTAGTATAAAATAAGAAAAAATATATTTTTTTTGGGAAATATGCGTAGGTTTATGCATCTGACAACCTTTTTTAATTTTTCTATAGTTAGTACCTATTCATTTTTGACAATTTTTATTTCAATTAAATTATTATTTTTTCACTAAATAACGTCTAGAGATTGACCTCGTCAAAATTATTACCGATTGTCGTTCCCCAGCCGTCTTTGACGACGTTTTTTTTTTCGAAATTATACCGTATATAATTTTTTTTAAGTTCTGAGTATTTTGCCACACAACAGAAATCTAAAAATTTAAAAGTTATTTTTGTAAAATGTCACTGGGTAGAATCCAACTGGAAACCAGCATCGTCAGTCGCATTTTACCTGTAAATAAATTTACCTAACAAAAGATGCTTAAGGTTTCAGGGGGTATATCTCCTCCCGTCATCAGAAGCAAAACAATCATGAAGAATAAAGAGAAACTGTTTAACATGTCTAAATGTAATTATGTACTTCGATATCACTAGTTTTTCTAGTGATATCGAAGTACATCGAGTATACATTCTAGTGATATCGTAATTCGGACACTAAAAACTTTAATTACCAATTGAAGAGTCAAAATACCAAAGGGGTTAAGTGTCAAAATTATTTTTTCGAGATAAGTGAGAAAAATACAGTGAACTGAAACTAATAAATTTTTAAAATATCTTTTAAAATACATAAACAATAGACGCTTTCGCTTGGCACTTTTGTTAGGACATGCAGCATAGTATTTATTACGTTTCTAATTTAATAACTTAATATTGAAAAATTTGGCACTTACCCCCTTTGGTATTTCCACTGTTCAATTACTACCTGAAGATAGTTACCCAGTAAGGTACCTAAGACCAAAAGAAATATTTATATAATTTTCGTTTTTTTTTATATACTATATACTATGGTTAGACCGCACCAAGTGTAGTTTCAATACCTAATAATCAATAACATACAAAAAATGGTCCAAGATGCCAACATTAACAAAGGAATGGACCCATAAATTTTATTATGCGATCAATATAAAATTGCTGAAAAAACAACAATAGCAAAATTAAATAATATCAATAAATGAGGGGTTCAGAAGTGAACTGGATCTAGTCCTACAAGATAATTATGGAGAAAATGACAGTTAAAGTCTTTAATGTTACTTAATTAAAATAAAACAAGCTCTGAAGAAAACTTGACACAATGCTTTATTAAATTTTAAATTGTATAATTGCAAACCAAAGACATTATAAAGATAGACCGAACATCTCATTCATAAATACTCATTGGTAGTGTATCAAACATTCCAATGTATCGAACAAGGACAGAAGAGACAGGGAAGTCTAAAATTTCCGACCCCGGCAACTCGGCACATTTGGATTGTTCTAATGGCCAGTGGCGTATCGTTTTTTGGAACGAATTTAAGTAGTAAAGTAAAAGTAAAGTAATTAGTAAAATTTTTACTCAATAAATATACTACATTAACACTTTTTCGTTAGATGAGTTTTGTTATAAGGTCTGATATAATAATATAATTAATATCCCACATATACTTCTGTTGAAACGTTAGTAGATAGTTTTCGAAAATCTCTCCAACGTCGATATTCAGTTTAAACTGTCAGTTACTTTTGAATATTTACAGGGTGACTCAGGCTTCCGAAACAGTTCTATATTAGGTTTATAGTTGGTGACTTTTCTTTCAATTTTTTTTAGAATATGGAGGCAATGGTAAAGCACATTTTAGACATTTTTGTAAACATAGGTGGCCGGAACATATTTTCAAACTAAAGTTGTAGATTTGCCATTAAATTTCCATTCCGGAAATACCTAGGGTTGCCACCTGTCCTTTTCTGAAAAGGACAGTCCTTTTTGGAATAACTTGTCCTTTTGACTTAAAAAGTCATTTTTATTTACGTATTTTCCCTGAGAAAATTACCTACAGCAAACAGAAATAGTCTTTTCGTCCAAATTTAATTAGTGATGTTATAAAACTTATAAATAAATTTTTCTTGTTTAGAATAGACAACATTATTTAGAACTTCCCGTTTAATCTCAAATGATAGTTTAGATTTTAGTTTTACTTTTTTGATCTTAAAAAACTTTTAAAAATTAGTAATTAGTTACGATTTAGTTAGTTCGCAATCGATAGCTTTCTGTGAAGTATTGTGTAGTTGTTTAATCTTGTATTATTAATAACTTCCTATACCTAAAATCAATATTTATTTTAATGAGAAAATTATGTGTATATATAATAATTATGTTATATATATAAGACAAGAAGTGAAAATATAAGACAAGATTTTACTTTCGGTCTTCTTCTCGTATTATGATGGCTCTGATACGAGGCAATTACCTTTTAGTCTCTCAATAGAAGGCATGTATCATTAAAAGTATCAAATCTGTGTGCTACAGTATGGGATTTCTGTCGCATAATAATGAATATTACGTTTATTTACAAATCCATTACTTAGGTAGCTTCATCAGACAATCAAATTTTAGTTAAATGTCCCAATCTTCATGAACTGTATTAAGCATATGTATTGCGGTTTGAATCACCCTGTATGTTGACAAAAATATTTTGAAAATGTGCTTTACATTGGCCCCGATCTTATGTAAAAAAATTGAAATAAAAATCACAAACCAAAAACGTAATAGGTAAAAGCTTTTTGGAGGCCTGGGTCACTCTGTATATAGGTATGTATAAAACTAGTAGCCTAAGAATTATTTACAGTTCGTCCCATTCTAAAAAAAGATAAACACACCGCACAAATAACTCTAGAAAGAGGTATTAGTATTGTACGGTGGTAAAAAATTGTCTAAACAAGACCGAAGGGGCAGATATAAGATATAATAAAGCAATAAAATAAAATGTAAAAAAGGACGGGTAAACACCTTTGTTTATTTGTTGAGCAAAATTCCTTTAGAATATCGTATATAATGACCAAAATATGACGCAATTTAAAAAAAATGTCACTTTTTCTGGCTTATAATAAAGCTTCAAATGCAACGTTTATATTCAAATTTGTTATGATTTACAACAGTTAGGTAGTAATTAAGACGAATTATAATTCAATTACCGGCTAGTACGTTCTTATTTTAATAGATCAAAATTCAACAAATATAATTAGAAATTATTTTAATTGTGAGAGGCTCCCTTGTGGGACGCCTATGTACGATTACGGCGGAAACAATACCTACCTGTGAAAAGACAAATTCGGGTAATTTGAGCTTATTTTTCCACACATTTGACACTGTCCTACCATATTGAAAATTCGCAGATTCAAAAGTACGTTAAACAAAAACAAAAACTAATGAAAAATACTGAAAAGTTCACTTCGGACTTGATTCCGACTTCAAACACACCGTAAGCTAAACGTAGTACCCTATAACGGACCGATGGCCGTCGCGAGGGGTGGTGGGACGGACGGCTCATTTCATTCTGGAAGACTAGCAGCGACGTTGCCAATAGTTCTAGACGTTTCAGCACATTAAACAGTAAACATGTCCTTTAATAGTAACGCATATATCCTCTGGTTAATCACGCATGCTTCTTTAAAAATAAACTATTAATTTAATTAAGAAATTGAGATTTATTGATATCCGGTGAAGGTTTTAAAGTCACCTTTTCTGCAAATCAAACTAAGTAGATAGGCGCAAATTTGAGATGTGGCAATGTCTCTATCTCAGTTGGTTTTTACAGTACGTAGCCAACCTCCGATTGTTTGATCGGGTTAAAATGCACAATGTGATATCTGTTCTTACTAAATCTATGTTGCAAACTAAAGTAACTCAAAATATAACTGTGGTTATTTTTAAGAATGTTTGTAATACTTTTTTGGACTTTGATCATTTTATCACTGAAAATATTTGGAATTTTAGATATAAATTAGTTCATCCGTACATTCTTCTTCGTCATTAAGGGATTTGTTGACTTCACATTGTCTATTAATAGTATTTTCTTCGATTTTTATATAAAAATATGGTATTATATATAGGCAGGATAAAGGCAAGAAGATCTTTCATGTATTGCCTTTTAGAGTGTTACGGTACGTCTTATATCAAATGATAAGATTTTTCTTCGTGCAGATTTATTCAGATCAACAATATGTCAGATATCTAAGTAGGTATTTGTAAGAAAAACAGTCTAACTTATTGATGTAGTAATAGTGAAGAGAATGATTAATCAAACTATACTTTCAGAATCAGACCTTTCAGATGGCTGGTAATCAGATTCACTTGGTGCAAACGGTTCAGACTTTGTTTCATGTTTCATTGTCATCCATTGTATAAAAAAAGATTTTTTTTAGCTCTAAGCTTTAGCACGTGTGTTAAAATCGCGCACAGCGTTAAATTTTATGGACTTGAAAGGAATCAACAGAATATTCATAAACCAAACAGAAACATAATGCGTGAAGTATGACTTGATTCATTTCACTACTGTCCAGTGCAAAATTGTTTTGGTGTTTTATTTTGCTGTTATTACATCAAATGTTCCAACGCCCAACTGTAAAGTTTTTATTTATTTCAAAGTTAAATAAAAAAGATACTTTTGTATCATTATCGGTCCCAAAATCAATCAATAGCCAGTTTAGTATAATAGGTACATACCCCCTAAAAAACTTCTTGGTAAAATCACTTCTTCACTATGTTCACGCACAAGTGTCACCTGATTAGCAATCAAAATTCAACGAATGTGTCACTAAATCACTACCAAATCAATCAATCAACAATCAGCCGGTTAAATATAGATAATGAGCTGAAAAACGATCCGCTCTAAAGCCCTGTATACGCCGCGCGACTGTCGCCCGAGTACCCAGCTCCAAGGAGACCAGTCTAACCGGGGGTCTGCGGTTTACCATGGCCACGCCCCCATTTCGTCCCCAAAGGAGTGGGGACGTTTCAGATCGCCTCTTTGACAGCGTATTTTTTCTCTCCTTTATCGAATTACCATAAATTAGTGGTAGATCTCCGATATGTATGGTTAAAACAGGTCTATAGACGAGTGTGCTTTGCATATTCCATTTTTAGAACGTCGGCTTTTTGTCCGGTCGAGATTTTTTATTGAACGTTTGGGGAATTTTTAACGCGAGAGGGGGGAGAGGCAGGATTATTTATAGCAGTAATTTATTTATTGTTTTTGTATGGGTTTTGTTGTTGTTGTTGTTAAAAAGGATGCTGCGATTTTAGCGTTTTGTGCCGTATAATTTAAGAGAATCTGAAATATTTTTTGCATTGTTATATTCAAGATGATGATTACTGTTTTTTTTTATTTATTTATGCAAAATTGTATTTTTAGTTTTTTATAAACTATATACAGTATGCTTAAATTTTATATCTCCATAGGTACTATCGAAAGATGAGTACAACTAATCTCAGATAGGAACTATTGGGAACAAGAAACAGACATCTTAACCAATAGTCAAGCAGCCTTAAGATAGGGTTGCCAACTTTCAGAATAAAAATTAGAGGACGAGAGGGTAAAAAAGAGGCAGAGGCGAAACATTTTTTTGAAACCTCGCCCAAATGTATAGCATTTACCAAAAAGTTATGTAGATGGTATGCAATTGATAGTCTTTCTTGCTTTCTTAAAAATATTTATACTCAAAACTTTTTCTACTTTTTTTTAATAGAATGGCATATATAGACAAATATACAACTCTTGACATTTTCGCTTAAAAGAAAATTGTATTTTAAATGCCAACCTAAAGCCTTAAAAGCGATCATCCCAGTAATGATCCATCCGAAGTAGGCCAAAGAATGCATGGAGAAGCCAAATAAATTAGGCAAAGGAAATAAAGTTACCAATTATTTTGGGTGCCAACCCACCAAGGGATAGAAAAGAATGAAAAAGTAATTGAGCTAGCTAGAAAAATAGGAAACATTTCAATAAGTGAACGATTCAAATAATTGAAATTTAAATTCTGTTACAAAAATTTAATCATTGTATATTGTAGATTGTATGGGGAGGGTGTTAATCACCACAACCTTATATACATTGTGCCCCTCCCTTTTTTGAATTATAACTCGTCATATAGACCCAGGGTTTTTACAAAAGCCAGTATCTGAAGTATCTGAGACGGTTTGACAAAGGTTGACAAAGTGATAGCGTTCTCCACGTAGTATGTGTCCCAAATAGGCTATTTTCCTCTTCTTGATGATTTCAAAGAGTTCACGTTCTTCTAGACCAGCTCTTCTGAGAATGTCTTCATTCCTCACACGGTCGACCCAGGGCACTCTTAGCATTCGTCGTAGGGTCCACATTTCGAAGGCTTCAATTCGGTTTATTGTTGCTACCTTCAGTATCCATGCTTCCACACCATATACAGTACGTCTATCCGTTCTGTAGCTACGGGGTATCCGTGAGAGGGGAAACGATATTCTCTCGATGTTTTTCGTAAAAAAAATAGTCGACGCGTCCCATCAATAAACATTCAACAAATTTGCAAGTAGCCAAAAAAATGAGTGGGCGGAGCGATTTGCGGTGACGCACTCGTATAACCTCAAATCGACGTATAAAATATATTGCTGTTTATTTAAATGTTTTTTGTCCGCATTCCTTTCATAGACACAGATGCAGTAGATGTACTGTAACAAAACGGACCAGACATAGCACTTCACCACTCTGTATCTAAGGCCGAAGTTCAAGTTCCTATCTGTGAGAAATCTTCGCAGTCTCAGAAAAGTAGATCTTGCTTGTTTGATCCTGATCTGGATCCCACGTTTCGTTAACCATGCATCCCAAATATTTAAATTGTGTGACCTGCTTGATGACCTCTCCATTTAAGTAAATTCTTTTGTTCGGAATATTGTTTCTGCTAGCATTATTATGCATTCTTTAACTTTACGTTACTGAGTTTGATTTGGTTCGCTCTTAAGGCTGCTTGACCATCGAATAAGATGGCTATTTCTTGTTTCCTCTCTTAATAAGTTGTATACATCTTTCGATAGCTTTAATTGCCTAAAATATGTATAAGCTTCCAAATCATAAATAATTTCCGAATAGTTGAACAAAACAGGTTCAGTGTTCTCAGCCCATGGGTATTCTTATGTAATTTACTGACAATCTCGTTGTGAAAGGAATCATTAGAAGCATTTTATATTTGATCTTTTACAGGTTACATGATTGGAAAACTCCAATTCCCCAATTCCCGATTTCCAGTAATCAAAACGAAATTGTATTTCTAAAACGGCAAGAGTGGCTGGTTTAGGGTTTGAAGCAGCCTCATCCTGCTTAGGATTATAGAAGCAAAAGCAGGAACTTGTCTCAGCCATCCTGCTTTTATTGTGTTGCTATGTGTGACGTCACCAATTAGACTTAAACTTGCTATATCTTACAAACAGCAAGTGTTGCTGGGATGAAATTTAGAACAGGATGCAACAGGGGTATAGCAGCGCAAGCAAGAACCAGTTTTGGCGATCCTGCTTCTCATGTGTTGCCAACTGGGAAGTCAGCAACCAAAATAAAAGTAACTATAGCTCAAAATTGGTAGGTGTGGCTGGGTTGGGATTTAAAGCAGGATAAAGCAGGATTGTAGCAGCCTAAGCAGGAATAATTCCTGCTTTCAATGAGATGCTAACTTTCCCGATCTGGTAGGTGCCCATTGGTTCGGAGAAAATGTATGAATAGGAATACTCTCCTGTACTTGCTTTGGTTTTGGAAGCATCGGTATACCACGTTATGCTATGTTTTTTTAATTACTATGCAAATGTTTCTCTTTTACAATTCTTGTTGTTACTCAATACAATAGAGTATTTAAGCCGAAAGTTTTACATTCTTCGTAGATGTCTATGTCATCTACTGTTGGGGGATGTAATTTTGTTTTTGATTGTGTTACAAGCTCCTGATACCTTGCTCATCACTATAACTAACTATTAATTATGCGGGCTGTTATTTTATTATTTTTTTTAAACCAAACTAGTTATTCCATCTCATTATCTACAATATGTCCCCTGATTGTCTGTACAAGTGGATTTTTTTTTTATTGTTGACATTTTGAGAAAAATACATTCTTCATAAAAACTTTTGCTTGTTCTAAAATGGTTAATTCCGTTTATACTCTTCCAAATTTTCATACCGTTTTAGAGAACACTAAAAAAGTAGGAAAATATAGTTGAATTTTTTCAAATCAAGACCTAAAAATCAAAAGGTGTTTCTATAGTAATCTCATTTAGATTTAATTCTTTGATAGATGGTTATTATTAATTTCCATTAACATCATATTTTTTACTGTTGCTATCACATTTTCCGATAACTATTATCACCCTTTCCGTAGAAACGAACTAAATATTTTTTTTTTAAAAACTCTTTAACATTTTAAAATAACAAAAAATATGACGTTAATTATATTAAGAACAATTTGTCAAAGAATGAAATCGAAATGATATTGAATTCAACTATGTTTTCATGTTTTTTTTTTAATTTTCTCTAAAACGGTATGGAAATTTGGAAAAGTACACTCAGATGCAATAAAAGCAACGGAGAAAATTTTGGTCAAATTTAAACTATTATATTTTTGTTATTTTAGCTCTATTGTTATGATTTTTTTAGCAGGCTGTATGTAATTATATCAACTTTAATAATTTGTAAACGCAGTTTTTTATAAACTTTAGTATTTGGCTTTTTTTACAGGGTTAATCGAGGTGTTGTTTTTTTACCTTACTAACCTAACTTTGACACACCCTGTGCAATAATTTTGTTTGTAAATTTTCCTAAAATATAATTTTACGGTCATGTATACCAGCATTTTATTTTTTGGATCATTTTATTTTTTGAATACATGCCTTGGTTAATTTTTAAGAGCGAAACGAACTTGCCACCAACAATTTTCAATTTTAATTTCTTTTTGAAGTTTTTTTTTTAATATGATAAGGCAGCTTTGATGATTATTGTGAACTATATACTACTATGAACTGCCCATCATGTTCGACGTTTGGGAAATGCTTGGCAAGAGGGTTAGGAGTCGCGAAGCAGTATCAGCTTTATCAAATGAACTTCTGCAATGAACTTCTGCTTGGTCCTTAAAGAAGAATGGGATTAAACATAACGCAATATGATACATCCAGTACCTATCAATGACAATATGAACGGACGTATATAGGCAGTTATAGCAGCCAAGGGTGGCAATACAAAATATCAGTATACATTTTACTTTTTTTTTCTGTTTCTATACTTCAGTATATTACAGATGTTTTCTTTAATATCGTTAGTTCTGTTATCGTTATTAATGTTTATTAAATCCAGGACTGTATCGTTAGTCTTTAACGTTTTTTTTTAAAATTTAGTGTAGAGTATCCGATGCAGCGTAATATGACGTGACGACAATAGTCACCAAAACCATCTCGTCTTATTAAAAAATTATACATCAAAAGTACCGTGAAGTGGGGTGACTTTGCCCAATTCTGAATTTTAAATCGTGTTTATTTCAAAAATTGTTGTATTTTCTCAAATGCGCATGGTCTATGCTATAAGTGGTAATAAGCACAACACAACAATAATACGCTTTTTTGTTTATTAAACAAATATATATATATAAAAATAGTAAAAAACTGGATGAGCAAAGTTAGTTGCTTATATGGGGTGTCTTTGCCCTCTTCCTTGTTCTTATTGATAGACCAAAGCCACCCCATTTAAAAGCATAATTACGTAAAATATGCTTCATCACCCTCAATATTATAACGAACTTCTGCATAATACTTACCTCAATATAGCGTGGTTAACTATTGCAGCCACGTAGTATACGCACAAAATAGGCTTTAAAAACAGATTTGGCTTCACAGCACTGTAAATGCTCAGGGTTGCCACAAGCTACACAATTGTGTATTTTGCTACACATTTGCTTCCATGATTGCACAGCTACACCACAATCGCCTGTGCTACACATTTTAAGAATTTACATATTTCTTATAAAATATAATACCAGAACAGTAAATCAGGTGAGAAAAAGTGTTTTTTTTTGCTTTTAAGTTATCTAAGTTACATTAACATGGGCCGCAAGTGAACTTTTAATTTTGAACTGACAAATATCATTTTCCGTCATCAGTGTTCAGGTGTTCAGTAAAATGTCAGAGTATGAACCAGAGTATGAACCAGAGTATGAACTGGGTCATGAATCAAGGACCGTCTATTGATCGGTTCAAAAACGGTAAATAGACAGGATTGTCGGCAAATAGATTGGAATTCCTTAAATAATACATAAAACGTCCTTTGATCAAATTTCACTGCTCAATTACGTCACTGTAGTTCAGTCACTCTTGTACTCGTTGTCATACGTAAATATTATTCAATTCCTATCATAGATAAATGAAACAAATAGATTGGAAAGTGCCCATAAGGACAAGGTAAACACTATTTGGCGCTATTCTTGCAATGGTCGCGACCCAAAACTTTTTAAAATTTCGGAGCGGTTCGGCATTTTCCGGAATTATATCGCCAAATATTGTTTATTCAAATTTATTATTATGTTCGTTTAATTTTATAAATAAAATACAGTGTGTTGCATACAAGAAACTTTATTTTATATAAGGACGCATGTATGAAATACCTATGAAACATTGGAAATCGACGTTATGCCACGATCCACGATGATTTTTGCAGTTCACAGTTCACAGCACAGCTTTTTAAATTTTTAATGCCACTTTTTTACAATTATCACCGGTTGGAGTAAATAAAACTTGAATTAAACTCACAATAATTACTTTGAAAATGGACGCTATAAACACTTTTCGGAATTTCTTTAATGAGAGCGGTTTAGATTTTGAAAGATCATTATGATTTTTGAAGATTCTGACTTTGACAAGAGAAAATCATAGTAGAAAATTATTTCTGTTTTTGTTTGATGGTGTTCTTAGCGACCGCTATAGCAGCGCCAGATCGCGTATAACGGTCGCGACCCAAAATAATTTCGCGACCTAAAATTTTTACGGGCTTTCCAATCTAAACTTGTTGCATTTATCTATGATTCCTATTTCACTTCCTCCCATATCAGCAAGGACTGCAGTTCCTATGGACAAATTTGGCCGATTAAACAGTCCTCAATAGTTTACAGTTTTTAAACAGACTTTTTTAACAGGTCTAATTGGTCCATATAATCGTTAGTTTCGCGGCATCAATTTTGGCGTCACTGCAATATTTGCTGGCATGAAATAAAATTAAATGGGAAATAAATATATTGATGTATACAAACGACTGGAAGTGAGACTCGTAATCATACTTTAAAATTTGGCGAACGTAGGGGAGATTGCCCCAGCGCCGGACAGTTTCCAGTACCGGACACTTTGGATTTTCTGGTTTCCATATGAATTGGCTGTAACTCCCTATTAAAATCAGTTAAAACGTTATATGTACGTTACATATTTCGCGCCATTTCCATTTATTTCATGTCGTTGTCGAGATATTTGTGATTAAGTGTTTACGTGGGTGTTTTCAAGTGATTCGACTAAACTTTAGGTCCCTTATATAATACGTAAAGGTAAGTTTAGTAGTTCACTAATAACTTATATAACAACTTACATTATTGGGGACTATAACCACATGCGCAAACGGACGAAATTATTTCTAGGTTATGTTCAATACGTATTTTATCTTTCGCTGACATTTCCCCAGTATCGGACACCCGTACATTGCCCAGTACCGGACAAAAAAATAATTGATCATGATAGGCAGATTATAGCAGTCATTATTACTATTATTTGTTGTTTCAGGCATATTAATCATGCCAAATAAACAAAAGGGAAAATGGGATGAAACGAGCATGAAAAAGGCTGTGGACCATGTACTGTCAGGGGAAATATAGCATTAGAGAGGCAGCGTTCCACTTCTCTGTTCCTAAAAGTTCTTTAGGAGACAGGGTCACGACTCTCCGAAAAGGAAATGCCGTTAAAATGACACCTACATTAGGAAGATTTGAAAATACATTTAATGTTGACTTAGAAAATGAACTAGTGAGACACCTTAAGGATTTGGATAATCGTTTTTTACCAGTCAACAAAAAGGAATTTTTAACGTTAGCATATGATCTTGCTGAGCATTTCAAATTACAGCATCAATTTAGTAAAACAAAAAAGACAGCAGGAAATAAATTTTATTGTGGGTTTATTAACCGGCATCCAGAATTTTCGTTGCGTTCTGCCCAATCAACTAACCTTCAGAGAGCGCAAGGATTTAACAAGAAACAAGTTGAGGCCTTTTTTGAGAAGCTGGAGAACCTGATGGAGAAATATTCGTTTTCCCCAAGTAGGATTTTTAACTGCGATGAAACCGGCGTATCTGTGGTACATTCTAACGCACTGAAAGTTTTGTCATAAAAGGGGAAAAAACAGGTCAGCAAACTAACATCTGGTGAAAGAGGGAAAAATATAACAGTAATGCTTTGTATCAATGCTGCAGGAGACCAATTTATACCACCTTTATTTGTTTTTCCAAGGGAAAGAATGGATGTTAACTTACGAAAGTTGCACGACGAGGCAATTCCCTCCACATCTACAGTCTTCCAAAATGCCATCAGTCAGATTTCTCCAGTTACTGATGATCTACAGAGAAAAATAATATCAAGGAAAAGGAAAGGAGAAAAAAGCGAAATATTAACTTCTACACCATATAAAAAATGCTTGAAGACAAAGCAGAAGTAAAACAGCAGGTCGAGTTAAAAACAGCAGGTCGAGTTAAAAAAACAAAGTATAACAAAACAGAGTCGAAGAAATAATAAAAAACACAAAATCAATACCAAATCTGAAAAGTTTCTATCTGTTAAACGAAAGCTAATAGACGAAGCTGAAGAAAAGAAAACAGACATAAAAGGCTTCTAACAAAACCGAGTGCATCATTTGCGGTGAAACTTTTGAGGAGGACTGGGTCCAATGTTCAAGATGTGATGGGTGGGCTCATGTAGAGTGTGCTGATAATGATAATATTCTTTACTTTGTTTGTGACCATTGCATACAATAACTTATTAAGAAGTATGAATTAGTAAGAGTAGTATTATTTCTTGTAATCTCTTCGTTTATCTGTTCTAATAAAAGCTTTGTAAATTTATTTATCTGGTTTAATATTCAAAATATATATTGTCCGGTACTGGGAACAGTTTTTTTTTACAAAGTGATTAGCAATACTGCCGTAAATTTATAATTTCACTGTCTATTTGAATTCATATCGGTTTAAATTTACTACCATATATAATTAGGTTTTCTTCTACCAATGACAGACTAAATTTTTGTAATATACTTTTTTTCCAAAAATAGAAGGGAAAGAGCTTAGGTGTCCGGCACTGGGGCAATCTCCCCTACGTCTTATTCTTGGTCTTATTGGATAGTTTACAATTATTGATCATGGATGGCTACACAATGCTACACATTTTTATGGTCAAGTTCTACACAATCAAAAATTTTCTTGTGGCAACCCTGTAAATGCTACATCGTAACTGACGGCAAGCGTTTAGCGACGTTTCGAGACGTGGGCGCCTCCACCCATAATTTACCGATAACACATAACGCGTTCTTTTCAAGTAGTGGCTACGGCTACGTCTAACATATTTTCGGACGGTTTTGGAAAAGTCACCCCAAGAGGCAAAGTCACCCCATTTCACGGTACCTAATGAGAACTGAAAAATTGCAAATTGATCGTGATCAGTTTATTCCGCTCTTAAAAATTAACCAAAGCATGTATTGACATGATCCAAAACAACAAAATGCTCAGGAGACATGGTATACACACGAAATTATTGCACAGGGTGTTTTAAAGTTAGGATAAAAAACAACGCCTCGATTAACCCTGTATGACATGCCAATTACTATACTTTACAAAAACTGAGTTTACGAATTAAAGTTGATATAATTATATACAGTTTGCTAAAAAAATCATGAAAATAGGGCTAAAAATAACAAAAATATAACACTTTAAATTTGACCAAAAATGTCTCTGTAGCGTTTTTTGGCATCTGAGTGTATAAACGGGATAACCATTTTAAAACAAGCAAAAAATTTTTATGAAGAATGCATTTTTCTCAAAATGTCAATAATAAAATATAAATAATAAAAAAATATATATAGTTTCTCTCCTCTTGTAAAGACAATCCGGGGACATACTGTATATTACTTGTAGCAATCCTTTATATATATAAGTTATATAAGCAATTTGTATACTAAATATTCATCTAATATAATGTTATTGTTAAAGTTAAACGATATAATCAGAAAGATTCATAGAGAATGTTTTATAGCTTTGAATAATTCACATCGTTTTACATACACAAACACTAAAACTACAAGATAGAGAGAATATCGCGTAATTCTGTATGTTTTATAAATTGTGTTTATCTCCGGTTTGTAACTTTTAAGATATTTTACCGTAACTAGCTAGTTATGACTCGTTCTAAACACATAATTTAATTAATAACATTATCTTAAATATTTGCGCAACTGCTTAACAAGTAGTCGTTTAAAATATTTCAAACAAGGTAAGTGAGGATGTGCTTGTATCATATACAGAGTGTTCTAAGAAAAAATGTATTATAAATATGAATTTATCAGTTTTTATTTTAAATTTTATTATTTATGAAATTATTAGTCAATTCTACTTTGATTCTACTAAGTTCAAATGAGAAGTTCAAAGTTTTGAAGTTCAAAACACTAGCTACTGGAAGAATTATTGTCAGCTCAGGGGTTTGGAACGTCCTCAATACGAAAATTCCACTCCCCTATCTCCCAGTGGATGAGATACCAAGAATGGACAGCTTTGAGAAATAATTCTCTGTAGTATAGAGCAAGAAAAAGAACTGGAAGAGAGAAGGGTTTGCTAAGCAGTTAAAAGGCCATACTATATTGTAGTATATGACGCTTTCAAAACCAAAGCAAAGACCAAAGCTGGGACAGGAATAAGAGTATGTACGCCGAAAACTAAATACTCTATACTATTGGGCAGTACCTACAAATCTACAATATCGAAAGATGTGTACGATCTTAGATAGGAACTATCGGAAACATGAAATAATCATATAGATTCAGGTGATAGTTTTGCTATAAGAAATGTCAAGTTATCATATTTTTTTTTGACATTATTATTCGTTTTGACACTTTAGTTTTGTTTTACGAGTTTTTGGTTTAAATGAGTGTTGTATATTACACATTTACATATACTTTAAGCTTAAATTTTTTTACTAGCAGATCTTGCAGTCGAGCATTGTTCCTTTTAGAACCCCTTTTAGTGCGAAGTGTACAATATAGCATAATATTAATGCAAAAACTCATCGCAAACTTATTGGAATATTTTGAACGGGAATGCGGTAGTAATGGTAGCGTTGCCAACCGTCCTCTATTCCATAGTATAGTAGACTCCTCTTTTTGATTTCACTCTCTTTTTTCCTCTCACATATTGGAAAAGTTCCCTTTTTTTATATACCAAACTCAAAATTTAAAAAATATTCGTCTATCACCACAATGTTTTAAAAAATTGTTAATCTGTGTCTTTCGCTACTCCCAGTCGTTTATACAGAAACGAAAATAAAGAAATATTATTAGAAATATTTGTGGAAAAGATAAACATGTTTAACTATTTTATGTTTACTTACTGTTAGCTTATACCACCTTATACTTTGAAAAAAAGGTTTAGTTGAAAATGGTTTGTTTTATTTTAACAAGTTTTGAGTATACATATTTTTAAGAATGTAAGAAAGGCCACCAGTCGCATACCGTTCGCATAACTTTTAGGTAAATTCTAGACATTTGGGCAACTTTTCAAAAAATGTTTCGCCTGTGCCTCTTTTTTACCCTTTTGACCTCTTCTTTTTTAGTTTGAAAGTTGGCAACCCTAAGTATGACCGTTTATGTCCCCTAAGTGCTGTTAAGGAGGTTACTTTTGTTGATGTAAATAATAACTGTTTATATATTAATAATTAATTTATTTTTGTTTCTTAAAATATTATGATTAAAAGAAAATATGTAAAAGTGGGCAACGCTGTGACGGCCAAACTTAATCACGTGACTAAAAGTTTAATTGGTATTAGCTATTAAAACAAAGCCAAAAAACTTCTCAATTAGAATTGAAACACATTAACCTTTTAACGGCATGTTGTCCCCCGATAATTTCTCGTAATATGATGAAAGTTAAGATTTTAAGGAATTTTATTCGGGCGGCTTTTATCTTGTAGGATCGGTGGCGCCGCCGACTAAAACCTAACCAGTGTTCTCCATCGGTCCGATATTTGTTGCTTTCGGTTTAATGTCTTGCCCAGGGGCCTCATCTGCCTAAATAACTCACCAAATCTATCTGGTTTACATTTTTACATTTAAGTGTCTATTCAAAGTAATTTTTAATTTTGTCATTATAATAACGAATAAAATTATTAAAATTATAGATTTAAAATTGAATTAAAATCATCAATTTTATTATCTACATTACGCAATTAATATGATATAATAGATTGTCGCGAGTTAGGAAATGTGTGAAACTATAAGCGATACCAATTAAACGTTTAGTTACGTAATCGAGGACGCGATTATTAAATTCATTTGCCAACAATGGACATATTCGGTGCAGGGCTGATTAACTGGAATTTAAATTTCCCGCTGGAGATTCAGGTGGCAGCTCTGCTGTAAAAATGTCAATTTGCCACATTATTTCCTGACATTCATTTTGAAACTTTAATTTTGTATTACAAGTTTTTGGTTTAAATGGATTGTGTTGTGATACTTTAAGAGTCCATTTAACTGGTCCGAAAATGTAGCAAAATAAGCGTTCGGAATTTAAGGTTTTATGTAAAACCACAGATTAGGTTACTATATTGTTACGTTTTTTTGTCGGTTCCGTGTGGATAGAAAGTCACAATTTATTTAAACACTATTTATTTAACACTAATTAACAAAAACAATAACGATAAAAGACTTATAGAACTATTTACAAACGATTTATAACTAAGAATTTATTTTGAATTTTAGCGCGTCAACTGCACTTGTATATTTATAACTGCCCTCTCTAGGCCACAGCCGCCGGCTTTTATACCTACAGTTAAAGTTTACTAGAATAGTCCATAGATCGTTAGGTGCATAGAGAAGGTTTTCGAATGTTCTCGTATGTACTACTCCATTCCAGTGGGACTCGATCCTTCTCGAATCTTCGAATGAAGCATTGCGGTGTCTATGCGAAGTTAAGGTCATCCGAGGGCGGGCCATATTGTTAGGTTAGGTCGAATCCACACCGGTCCGCAACAATATGTATACAGATAAAAACCTTGTTCCTAATTCGTGGTACGAAAAGTGTTTTTTATGACGATGAGCAAACGAGTCAAAGAGTAAAATTTCCTGTGCGCAAAAAT